TTGTTTTTGATATTTTATTATTATATTAATAATATAAAGTGATTTTTTTATAGAATTTTTAAACAGGTTTGCAAAGTTAGAATTTTTAAATATATTCTTTTACAAAAAACTTGTGTTAGTCTACTTGTTAATATCTTTGTAACATATTTTCTAGAAAAGTAATTGGTCTAATGTTATTTAAATTGTATTGTCAGTTTTCTTCTTTTAGATATTGGATAAATTTGTAAAATTTTTTATTTTTAGATATTTTTTCATTTGTACAGTATATTCAATTCTATTAAGTATCTAAAAACTTCTTACATCAGTAGATTCAGTAGATTCATTGTTTTAATTAGTATATATATAATTTATTTTTTAAAATTTTATTATCAAAATGATTATATTACAAAGATTAAATTTTTTCTTTTAGATATAGCATTCTGTTCTGTTTATTTTTAATTATTTATATCTTCTTTTAATATTTCAGTTTATTTCTTTTTTTCTTAGTTTTTTAATTTCATTTAATTTTTGCATATATAAGAACTTTTATTATTTTTTAAAATTACTAATTACTTTTTATATTTATTGGTTTTTAATCTTTTCTATTTGTGTTTTGTGTTATTAGTTAATAAACTTTATTTTTTTATTAATTTTTTAGATTTTTTTTGGTTATTTTTAGAATAATGTTTTTTTTAAAACTTATTTATCTGTCTAATTACATAAGAATTTTTAATATTGTTGTTTTTCTAATCTTATTTTTTCTGTTTACTAAAATATTTAGAATCTTCTTTTTAGAAAATTTTTTTTGTTATTTCTAGTATATTATTGCTTATAATATTTTAAACTTTATTAATTAATTTGATTTTTTTTTAATTTGATAAATTTTAATCTTAAGTTTAATATATTTTTTTTAGTAAAGATTCTATTTATCTTTTTTTATATTATTCTTAATTTTTTTTATAACCACCTTTATATAAAAAATATTCTATACTATTTTTTTTCTTTAGTATAGTTATAAATATTAATACTATTAAATATTTAAGTTTTATTTTTATTATAATTATTATACTGTAATAATTATTAGTAATTACTTTTAGATTTTAAATTTTTGTATTCATTAAATTATTTGACAAATTTCTAAAATTCAAATTTGATCTACTCTAGTACTTGTTTTATGATTAAATTATAAGTATTTTTTACTTTTAGGATTTATTTTTATATATGTATTATAAAACTCTTATTTAATTAATTATCTTATTATAAATTTTTGTTTAATAGTATCTTTATAACTAAGTCTTTTTTGTTAACATTTACAAATTTTAATATATTTAATATTATTATTAAAAGTTTATTTATATACTATTTTTATTTTATTAATATTATAATATACTATATTAAACTTTACTTTTTGTTTTTTTTTATTTTTATTTAAAAAATATATTTTTTGTTAGCTAAAAACTGTTTTTTTATAATATTTATTTTACCAATTTGTAGAAATTAAAAAATTTTGTCTTTAAACTAATTTTTTTAATTTAATAATAACAACTATTGAAATTTTAAAAAAAATTAATTAGTTTATTATTTAGATTAATAAGTTTTTAAAAAATTTCTTAAAGAATAATTTTAAATTTATTAATTTTTTAACAAAATCTCTATTTTTTTCTTTTTTGTAAACTATTTTTATTAAAATTATTCATTTTTTTAATATTATTAAATTTAAAATTATTATTTTTTTCTTTAAAAATACCTTTAAAATCTTTATTATCTTGTTATATATAATTTTTTTTAATATTTAAAAACTTAATTAAATAAGTTTTTATTTTTTGTTTTTATATTTTTTTTCTTTACTTCATCATTACCAATTTGATTTCCTTTTAGGTAAAGTGATTTTAGATTATTTAGATTATTTTCTAAGCTTAAAATGTTTTAAAATTCTTTTTTTATAAGAATTTTAAATATTTATTTGTCTTTTTTTTTAAAGAATTTTTTTATTTTTATAATGTTTTGTTTATAATTTTTCTTTTTTCTTGTTTTTTATATCTTTTCTGTTTTAGAGTTAACTTCATTATATATATTTCTAAGCCATATAAGCTTGTATAATAATAATATATTGTCTTTTTTATACTTTTTTAAAATTAATGTTTATACTAAAAAAAATACATTTATGTATACAAAATAAAAAAAATTGAATAATTTATTTAAGAATTGAAACTATTACTATTACTCATTTAACTATAATTAATTAATTATTTATTTATATTATATAGTTAAATGAGTAAAGGTTTTAATAATCATTTAAAAGTTGTTAAATTATTTGCTTCAACATTCTAATAGCTTACATAATTAATTATAATTAAATATATAAATAATAATAATTTTAATTTCTAAATTTACTTAAGTCTTAATTTTAGTAATCATTTATCATTTTAACTCTGGATTTATAAAAAAAAATAAAATAAATTCATTTTATTTATTTATTTATAATTAATTTATCTATTCTTGCTATTACTATTTATTATTCTGATTCTAGGCTTACAAAAAAAATTTTTAAAAATAAATCTTTATTTTTATTTTTATTTTTTAAAAAAAATTATTTCATAATTTATTTTCTTTACCCTCAATTCCGGTACTAATCTTGATCCTAAATATATATAAAAAAAATAAGCCTTTATTTTCTATTTATTCATTTTTATAACTTATTTACCTTTCTTATTATTATTGTTATTGATTCAAACCTATAAAAAGAATTTGGAAGATGGATCTTTAATTCTTTTTTAAAATATTCTTTTATTTATAATTTAATTACCTTGTTCCTCGATTCTGGACCTACAAAAAAAAGAAATAAGATGAGTGAGTCTTTATTTTACTTTATTTGCAATCATCATTCGTCATTCTGATTCCGGATCTATAAAAAGAATTCTAAAAGTGAGTATTTGTTCTTATTTATTTTATTATATTTTTCTAAATTATTTATTCGTTTATTTATTTATAATTTATTTACCTTGCTCTTGATTCTGTTGGTTGTTTACTGCTCCAATTCCGAATCTACATAAAAAAAATAATAATAATAAGGCGAAACTTGATTTTATTTATTTATTATCTTATTTTTTTTTTTATATATACTTTTCTTGCCATCATCTTTTGTCATTCTGATTCCAAATACTTTTAGATCAAATAGTTACCTTCATATTAATATGATTATATAAACAGTTATATGATTATGATCAAATTATTAGAAGGTCATATAAACAGAAAATTATAAACGATTAATAAATGGCTAAACGATTAATAGACGATTAAACAGTTAACGGTTAAACAATTATTAAAAGACTAAAACGTAATTAAACGGTTAAACAATTATTAAAAGACTAAAACGTGATTAAACGGTTAAACAATTATTAAAAGACTAAAATGCGATTAAACGGTTAAACAATTATTAATCGTGTAACTTATAGGAAACGACGCGATTAATCGCCTGTATAATTTTCGCGGTTCCAATTCCCTAAACCTATTGTTCCGTAAAAACGAAAGCACAAAATTTTTTAGCCAATCAGAATTATTGACGATCAACAATAAAAAACCGAATTTACGATAAATAATCTGAAATTTTTTTTTTTTAACATTGTGCCATTCAGACTATGAAACATTCAACTACTTCTAATGATTGACGGATTTTGGCTGACTACATAGGTAAATTCTTCATTGTCTATATAGATGATATTAACATGTATTTGCAAACGTTTCCAGAGCATTTAAAACAATATTTACTATGAACATTTTGAAAATCAAAGATGCTTTTTTTGTTTTTTGTTTTTTTTTTTGGTAAGTTTTTTTAAAAAGATCCTTTATTTTGTTAAAGTTATTATATTTTATTCCAAATCCCATATCTTTGAGCAAACCGTATCGAAAAATGACAGTAAACGAGTTTGTCAAGCAATATATGGGTAAAATAATGTCACGAATCAATTGACTTGAATATATTATTTTATTAAGTGATATTCATGTTACTATACGCGTGATACACTTCTACAGTTAATAATGAATAACGTATCATTACATACACTAATCCTAATCCTATTGGTTTTATATACAGATGTAACCATGTATGACTAGAACCTATGTGAAAGCTGAGTGTTTACATATTGGCAATAAAAAAAAATTTTTTTTTTAGAATTTCTAAGGAAATTCTAAAACATTTACTTAAAGGGAATTATTTCACACGTTATCAGTTATCTGCTGTTTGTCAATATCTAATAAAATTAGTATAGTAAAAAGAAATTAATGAGGATCGAAAGATATCAATCGACCAACATTTATATAATTTAGAATAGAGATAAGTAATATTGTTGTTAATTTATCCATTCAAATATTTAAAAAATCGTGTTATGCTATATGCAGCGCTATACGGTACGTTTGTTATGACCCTTTATATAGTTTTTCTATTAGGCTCAAATAAGCTAGAAATTTTTTACGCAAAATGTAGTCATAACTTTTAACTACATAAAAAATATGGTAATAACTGATAAAGTAGCTAAGAAAACCATTTCGTAATTACGTTTTATTCGTAATAATTTACTATTACGTATTCGTAATAATTTATTATTAATTGAGGGTATTACGCACGTACGTACGTATATATCAGACAGACTTTTAATTATCTACGATCACGCTGGGGCTACGAATTATTGGGGTACTATAGAACGTGTCGAACACACACAGTGCGTTACATATTAGCAAAACAAAGAAAATAATAATGAAAGTTTATACAAAGGAGCAAAATTTTCGTAATAGGTAGCCTTCGAAAGTTTGTAACTTTTTTCTAAATTCAGATTAGCGAGATTGAACATTTAGATAAATTAGTAAGAAAAAAAATGTTTATTTTCACAATACAATAATGGGTTAAAATTTTTTGTAATCGTTTATGGAGGTAACATATTCAACCAGTCGTAATTTTTGACCCGGTTAAACCGTTTTGACACGGGTGACCCGGTTTACTATAATCCGGTTCTAAACTCTAGTCTTCAATATCTTTAATAGCATCCGAATTAACTAATATAGTTGATTCGAATGTTCTTAATTGTTTAAGAAATCCAGTATTCGGTCTGTAATAATATAATAAGATTAAATGGATGAATAAAAAATAATTATTGGAATAAAAGGTCCGATACTAACCGAATAGCCGATCTTCTTTCCTTTACAAGTTTGAGCGCATGATCCAATGATACTTGTTGCGATCTCATGATATAAGCTATGACCACTATTTTTAAAAAAATGAGTTTGAAAAAATCGGCTAAAAAAAAAAATAATAATAATATTTGAAATGAGTTGGAAGACTTGTATTTGGGCACTTACCACTTGCACTACGTGAAACACCTTGATGACTATGGAAAACAACGATTTATTTATTAAATTAATTTAAAATTTTTCATTCGTTATTAGACAAACAAACGCTATATATTATTATTTATATTGTAAACATAAAAATACCAATGAACAAGGATTTTTCCACCCTCTTGGTCTAAAACACTTTGTATAAACTCAAACATTTCTTCAAAATGTCTTGAAATATTTTGTGATGGGTGATCTCTTATTGAAATTACTTTATACTTGAATAACTAATACCCACAAGATTCAATATTAAGTTATTAAATAAATAATAATTCATACAAAGAATTTTAAGTAATATAATAACTTACACCAGGAAAAGAAGGAGAAATGCTATCAGCTACCGTAAGGATATGTGTAATTTTATGCTCCTTTAACCAACTTTGATCTGAAGCAGCTATCAAACTATTCTCAAATAGTACCGTATTTAGGGAAAATCTTAAATTCATATTTAAAAAATCCTCAAAACAGAAACAATAACCAACCTTCCCAAATATAGTCCAGGAATAATATGAGAGGCATATTTGGTATTATAATATTCACGTTGAAGTGTATTTTGAACTAGAATGGGTTCAGATTTTTGTTTCTTAAGTTGTTTAGAATCACTAGAATCCATTTTTAAAGGAAAAGAGGAGTTTATTGACGATTAAGAAAATCTTTCTATGATATTTGATGACTTTGTTGATTCTGCGAAAAATAATAATAATAGATAAATAAGTTAATAATCATTACGTAGTAAAGTTAATAATATTGTATTTTATTGATATGATCTAAAAAAATACCTATCGTTACTTTGGTTAAGGACGGAGATGTTCATCAACTGGAAGACATATATATATATTTATTATTAGTCCGAAATGAGTGACGCAGTGATAGCTACAATTGAAAATATTTATTCATGTGATTGTGCATCCTGTATAAATTTGATTTATTACTGTATTTTATACGTATTATAATTAATAAAGTTGTGTGTAAAATTAATACGTACGTATTAATAAAATCATGTTATGATTGATTACATATAAGTTCCACAGGACGTTATATTTGATTTTAAATTAGACCCATTCTCAAATATACTTACATATGTATCGATATATGAAATCACTCAACCTAAAATTTTATATAAAGTGATTTAGACAATATTACTTTGAGCAGAGTTTGATTATTATATTTTTTACAGTCGGAATATAACGCCCGATGTTCTCTATGGAAAAAAAAATCGAATCGGATGTTACCGAATATTTACATCTACTTAAAAGTTTTTTACTGATGATTTTTTTTAGCATTTAGTAAAATAATCGGTGAGTATTGAGTATCGGTGTTGGTGTAAAATATTATTAAATTTTTTTTTTTTTTTTTTTTTTTTTTAACATCTACATTTTGTGATCTAATTGGTCATCGTTAAGTGTTACATATCATCATAATGATCATAATATTTAGTAATAATAATCGAATATGTTTATGTTTGGTACGTATATGTATAAAGCCATACAAAGTTGAATTTTCGTTTTTGTATTATTAATGTTTCAAGTTTTTGGCAAAAGGTCGGATCTTTTTTCTTTTTGTTTTTTTATCTAAATTTGTAAAAACATTGTTCTTGACCCACCTTACACATTGTTCTTATCCTAAAAAAAGCAAAAAAAAAATACACATGTAATCTTGGTGATGTGCAAAGCATTTTGGGATGCTTATTTATGTTATACCTGATCTTGAAATTTTGATTTGACCGGATACGTAGCAAAAATTTTTTTTTTTTGATTGTTAAACCGATATTATGATTTTTAAACCTTGTAATTTGGTTTATTATATAAATGTACAGTATTTAACATTATTTTAAATTTCACATTGTTACTAATTAATTCTAACTGTAATTACTAAATCAGATTTACAGAATTACTCAATTCGGGTCGCCGAATTGTATACGTATTGTATTGTTTATTTAAAATTTTGTCTTAATAATCGCATATAAAAGGACGATCACTTGTACCGAATTTCATACCAACAAAAACGGAAAACTTATTGGAGAAAGTAGAAGAGGCTACTATACAA